GAACAAACTGATGGTTACCAGAGGGGAGGTGGGGGGGATGGGTGAAGTAGGTGATGGGGATTAAGGAGTATACTTTTGATGATGATGAGCACTGAGTAATGTATAGAATTGTTGAATCACTATATTGTACACCTGAAACTAATATAATGCTGTATGTTAACAATACTGGAATTAAAATTAAAAACTTAACTAACAAAAAGTTCTGCCTGTTTGCAGCCTTTGCACTCAAGACTGCAACATCAACTCTTTCCTGAATTTGCCTGCCCTGCAAACCAGTCCTCATAATTGTGTGAGCCAATTCCTTAAATTATCTCCCTTCCCTATCCTTCCCTCCCTGTTCTGTTTCTCTGGAGAACCCTAATACAAACCCTGATGTCCATAAACTGATGAATGGATAAACAAAATGTGATATACCTACAAAATGGAATATTATTCACCATAAAAAGAAATGAAATGCTAATACATGCTACAATGTGTATTTTGATAACATTATGCTAAGTGAAAGAAGCCAGACACACAAAAGGCCATATATTATATGGTTCCATTTATATGAAATGTTCAGAATAGACAAATCCAGAGAGATGGAAAGTAGATTAGTGGTTGACTAGGGCTCAGGCGGCGGGGGAGGGGGGCGGGGGGAGAGGAATGGGTAGTGAGGGCTTAATGGGTATGTGGTTTCTTTTGGGGGTGATGAAGATGTTCTAGAATTAGGTAATGGTAATGGCTGCACAACTTTGTACTAAAAACACCGAATTGTACCCTTTAAATGGGTGAATTGTATGGTATATGAATTATATCTCAATATCGCCATTATTTTAAAAATAACAAGACTTAAAATAAAAAATAAATAATATCCGTCACAATTCTGTCTCCTGTCCCTCCCTTCTGCTAGGCAATGTATGTACAGCTTGCCATCCGCCTGGCAACACCCATCATCCCCAAATTCCATGCTGCATTTTGCAATAGCCCTTCTTTCCCTTCAGTGCTAATTTAGATGATCATTTAAACCAGATTTTTAAAAACAAAACTACTAGGGATAAGGGTTGCAGGGAACTCACTTGTGTTTTGACTCCAGGCCCTATGGATGATACTGACGAGGGAGTGGCTCAGAACAGGATAGGAAAAAATTCTTCATCCTCAGGTTGCTTTACAGTGAAAAGAGAAGGCCCAGAGGCTGCATAACTGATTTTGCATTAGATATCTTTTAAAGATTCTAACAGTTCAAATTGAGTGTTCTATAGAAGGAAGGCATTCTTCCATCCTAGCTAATGATTCTCTGGGCCTTGCCTTTCACCTCCCACCAGCTAGTGTTCTATGACGACTATCAGCCACTTGCTGCACATCTCGCTCCTTCCTCTCCTCTTCCTTCATGCATACCAGCTGCCTCTTACAAGTCAGCTCTGACTGCAGTGGCTTTGAAAGCTTAAACCTATTCCGGAGCCTTATATGGTTCAGAGGTGTTCTGAATGCTAATAAAGATGCCAAGAGCTTTTATTTTTTTTTTTCAAAGGTTTATTTCAGAGAGAGAGGGAGAGAGCATGAGCAGGGGGAGGGGCAGAGGGAGAGGGAGAAGCAGGCTCCCCACTGAGCAGGGAGCCTGATTCAGGGCTTGATCCCAGGACCCTGGGATCCTGACCTGAGCCAAAGGCAGATGCTTAACCGACTGAGCCACCCAGGTGCCTCAAGATGCAAGAGCCTTTAGACTCATTCTCTGTTCCTGCTGAGTTTGGAGGTGTTGCAGGGGAGAGTCAAATCTTGGGTCTCCCTTTCCTGTAGAACTTTGGTTCTGCAAGAAGAAGAAATTGACCCTGAACACTATCTAGTATTCAGGGGGGCAGCCTAGGGATATCACCTCAGTTGACCAGTCTTTGGGAGATGAGTGGTCTTTTTTTTTTTTTTTTTAAGATTTTATTTATTTTTTTAGAAAGAGTGAGCAAGTGGGGGGAAGGGCAGAGGGAGAGGGAGAGAGAACATCTCAAGCAGATGCTGTGCTGAGCCCAGAGCCTGACTCAGGGCTTGATTTCAAGACCCTGATATCATGACCTGAGCTGAAATCAAGAGTCAGATGCTACCCAGGCACCCCAGGAGATGAGTGGTCTTAATGGGGAAGGGGTTCCCAGGGCCTCAGTAGTCTCATGCCTGTCAACATTTCCAGTGTCTCTACTCCTCAGAGGAGTAAAGGGCTGAAATCTAGAGATTGCCTGAAAGAGGAAAGAGAGTTGGACAGAAACAGGGCAAATTCTCAGTTTCTCCCAGGAGGGCAAAAGGAACAGGGAAATAAGAGACCAGAGGATTTAATGACCTAAAGCGCCAGAGAGTCCTAGGACTGAAAATAGAGAAGCTGGTGGGTGAGGGGGATCAGATGGCTGGAAACTTACAGGTCTGTATCAGCCATGGGGGAGTCCAAAAAAAAAAAGTATAACAGTTGGGGCTCTGCCTTTAAGCAGCTTATGGCAATGTAGTTGTGGAATAAAAAATAATATGCTTGCAATAATTTGTAATTTGGTGCTAAACCATGGTGTTGACAAAAAAGCGCTGTAGGAACTTGGAGAAGGGACATATCATGTGGGCTGGCGTCCTCTGTGAGCTGAATGGCTGACTGAGGAAGTGGGTCTTTATGCCCCAGGACTTTATGCCCCAGTTACAGTGGCTATAGCTTTTCTAGAGATGAGTGTGCCTGAGTCTTGCATAGTTTCCTGGAGGAAGTGTGGGGGAGGAAGCCTCATCATCATCGCCATTTTTAAATCATTACTGTCATCAACAAGAACCACGATAAACATTCATTGAGCATCCCTCCCTGAGTCTACACTTCTGTTGGGTAGGCAGGCCAAACACAGAAAGAGTTGAAGGACTGGTGCAAGAGAGAGTGAGCCAGTAGCGTAGAGACTGAGGGAAGAGTGAGGGCTGGGGAGGTGAAAGAAGGCTTCTTGGAGGAGGGAGTACTTGAGCTGACCCCTGAAGGAAGGTTAGGGTTTGGACTAATGGAGGAAAGAGTGCAGGACACTGTAAATGACCTCAACAAGACACAGAGGTGGAAGTGAGGAGGCAAGTATAATTAAATGAGAAAGTTTGCTGGACTGGAGCAAAGGGTTTGTGATAGGGTAACATGGATAATGAAATTAGAGAGGGAAGTAGTGTGGTGATTACAGAGAGCCTTTAGTGGCATCCAGAGGGAGGGGGTGTTTAGGAACAAAGTAGGAAGGTCTTGTAGACTTGTGTATTGGGGGCATGCTGAGGGCACAGGGAAGGAGGAAAGGCTAAAAGAATTGGGATTCTCCATTCTTTCTAGCTTCAGTCTCCCGTGCTAGGGTGACCAACTTATCCCATCCCAGCAAACTGAGATGAGTTTGTCACCCTACTCGAGATCCATCTTGAGAACAGGTTCCTAAGAAGCCCCCAGAAGTTCTTCACCCTATACTGTTGGTGGAGAACCCTGTGCCAGTTGGAAAGCCCCAGCCAATTAACACTGTGTGAAGTGTTCTCAGATAGTGTTGACCTGCCTTGTGAAAAGGAAAGGAGGAAGGATCAGCCTGCTAACCCAGCTAACCCAGCTCTGAGCAGGAGCACAGGTGCAGACCAAGATAGTGTGCCTGCTTCAATGGCAACAAGCTTTAGAAGTAGATTTGTCCCTGAATCAGCCCTGGGGAAAGGAGGCAGCAACAGCAGGAATCTTAAATCAACACAACCACAAGACTAAGTCTTTCTCCAGGCCATCATTTTGGTGGCAGCTAGTTGGCCACTCCTCACATATCCTTTGTACTGACTTCCTGCAGCAAAAGGAGATTGGCACAGGCTCTGCTACATTTAAATTATTACCAGGAGGCAGATGTTTTCTCTGTTTCTCTGGGGTTTAGAATTATTCAAATGAAGGCATGAAAACAAAAGCTCAGTGAGGTGGGGGAGGATTGATCTTAAGAATCCTGGAAATTTTCTGAGCTCTTTAAGTCACCCCTCTCAGCTTTTACTAACAGCTCTCTTGGCTCCTCTCCAGTCTATTTAGAATTTGGCACCTCTTGAGAACCTTCCAGCCAAAGACCTGAAAGTTCAATTCTAAAGTTCCTATCCCGGCCTCATTTTGCAAGTGGGGAAATCAAGGCATTATAATATGAGTTTTCAGTGCTGACCTTGAGTCTTGACAACCCCCCCCCCCCCCCCATCCTTTTCTATCTTAACCTCTGCTGCATACAGACTTGCCTGGAAAGGAAACTATGGCCCAATTGCCTCTCAGGTCTCCTCCGCCCCACCCCACCGTGATATTATCTGGAGGGCAATAGGACCTAGGGAAGTTTAACCCTGAGGCCGAGAGGGAGAGCGGAGAGGGGAGAGAGGAGAGAGAGGAGAGAGAGAGAGAGAGAGAGAGAGAGACAGACAGACAGACCTGCCTAACCGCGTGGGTTGTGCAAGTGTGCGAGCTAGCTAGTTCCCGAGGGCGGGGTAGAAGTGGGCGTCTGCTGCTTTGGGGGAAGAGGAAAGCTGTGGCTTCCCTCTGGGATCCGGCGGCCGTGGTGAGAAGCTGTTCCGAAGGCCAGCCCAAGTCCCCTTTGGTTTGTCGCGCCTCTCCACGGGGAGCATCCTTGGGCTGCCCGCCCTGGAACTCGCAGGCTGGTTTTGTTTGGCCCCAGCCGTCCCTCCCATTTGGCCCGCCCCCGCCTTCAGTGCCTTAGTTTCCCAAGCCGCCGATCTCTCCCAGCTGGAACTGCAGGTCAGGGAGGACCCCAGCAGCCGACGGGGCGTCCAAGAGTCTGACGGCATCTGCCTTTGCCCTCCCGGGCTGGCGCCCCGCACGTCGTGCTTCTCGCTCGCAAAGTTTCTCTGTGGGAAAGACGCCCCTCTAGCTTTCTCTGGCTCCTGGAGCGCGGGGGCGCTCCGCCCCTCCCCCCAGCCTGCGCTCCGGGCCCGGGTTGGTGCCTTTGCTCCAGCCCCCGGCCGGCTGCCTCGGGGGCGGAGCTTGGGGAATCGGTAGAGCGAGCTGGAGAAGCTTCGACTCGGCGCGGTTCCTAAGGGAGCAGCGGCGAGCGGGCGAGCTAGTAGCCACAGCCTAACGATAGCTTAGGGTACCTAGGCACTGAAATGAGCCCCCGAAGGGACGCTCAGGCTGCACCCCCTCTTCTGCCCTGGTTCAGTTCTCGGCAGATTTGAGAGGGCGTGCTGGTCAGGACTCCTCGAGAGGTGCTGCTGAGTGTTGGTGCCCCCGACAGAGTGGCTACCCCGCTCCCTGCGGGGCTGCGGAAGGAGAAGGGGCCAAGGAGACAGCTGTCCCCAAGCCTTTCACGTGCCTGGAATTGGACTCCGGACTGGGCGCTAAAATGCTTGCTTTTGCCCTGTCCAGGTTTCTTAGCACGTCTGTGGACGATTGGAAGCCTGGGCCAATGAAGAGTCAAGTTCAAAGTGGTACTCCCGGGTTCTCTGTCCCATACTCCCAACAAGTGTAACTTGAAACTAGAAAGAGGGGTCTCCTGCTCTAACTAGCAGATCTCCGCTCTGGAATTGTACTTGACAGCTCTCTTCAATACTTGGACTGCAGTGGCTACAGGGTTCTCTTGGGTGGGGGTGGGGGTTGCTCAGAACCTCGACAATGGACCGAGTTTATGAAATTCCTGAGGAGCCCACCGTGGATCCAACTTCATCTCTGGAGGAAGATGTCATCCGTGGGCCCAACCCTCGATTTACCTTTCCATTTGGGATCCTCTTCTCCACCTTTTTGTACTGTGGGGAGGCTGCATCTGCCTTGTACATGGTCAGAATCTACCGAAAGAATAGCGAAACCTACTGGATGACATACACCTTATCCTTCTTTATGTTTTCATCCATTATGGTCCAGTTGACCCTCATTTTTGTTCACAGAGATCTGGCCAAAGACAAGCCGCTGTCATTGTTTATGCATCTAATCCTCTTGGGACCTGTTATCAGGTGAGCAATTTTTCATTTCTACCACCCCCATAGGGTTTGTGCAGAGAAAGATGAAGCTAATATTTACAAGACTGATACTGTGCCTCTAATCAATTCTCCCATTCCCTCCCACTCTTGGCTTCCCTGCCTCCCATCCAGAAAATCTTATCTGAAACTTTAGATGCCACCACAATGAACATGTGGCATGTACCTGTGTTCCAAAACCATGTATGGTACCATTGCTGAGACTTCGGTAGACAGTGTTTGCTGTTCGGATTTGAGTTGTGAAAATTGGTACGGGACCAGCTGACGTGCTTAACCTGTGCGCACCGGCCATAGCTTCAGAGTGTGTTATTTTGACTCTGCCTTTTAGACAGTCTATAAACTGGATCTCACATTCAATTTCTTTACCCTGAGCTGCTTGGGCTGATGGTGGTGGCATTTTCAAATTTTCCAGAGTTATTTGACATCTGGAATATATTTTCAGCTATTTGTGGTCATCTAGTACCCCAACCCATTGTAGTTTGTTTTTTTTTCTGTTGGTTCATCAGTCTCTTGTGTATCTCTTTGTATCTTTCTGCAGTAAAGGTACATGGTTAGAGGGGGCAGAAGAAGATAGTCCATCTCTCTCCATCTGGATACTGGAGCACACTGTAATAGTATCAAGTCTTTCCATTCAGACTGCCTTGAAGGGATGAGAATGTGCCTTATCTTAGGGAGACAGGCTTCTGTGTCAGCAGTCTCATCTGGACGCTATGGGATTTTCAAGGTAGGGAGATGTTGCAAAACTTATGAAGTCAGGAGGAAAGAATGGACCAAGTTTGTCTTGATTGCAATCAGCTGAAGAATATGTGTCAGAGTGTTGATGTTGTAATTGCAGTGGGAAGATATTTCATCCTTAGAGAACTAAACACAGCCTGAAACTGTTCAAGGATGGAACTTCCCTGCCTTAAAATTTTTTTAAATCAATATATGCTCAAACAAGGAGGGACTGATTATGCTCCATTAGAGAAAACGGTAGCCTGGAATTCCAGTGGCCTGGAGTCTAGTCCTCCCTCTGTCATTGACTAGTTAGTTGCATGGCTTTGGTGAAATCTCTGAAGATGCCTTGGGCCCCAGTTTCTTCATCTGTATGATAAATGGGTTGGGCTAGATCATGGGTCTCAAACGCAGATGCTTACAGGGGCCAGGCAGGTCTCATAAATGAGTGAAGCAGGCCCAGTATGAGAAAACCAGTAGCTTCATGTGTGATGATAAATGAAAAGGAAGTCTCAGTGTTAGAGAAATGATGGAGAGTAGTGTGGCAAGCTAGAGTCTGCATGATTTGCCTAAAGGAGGCGGCTACTCTACGGTTCCAGCCCATTGTTTCACTTTTGGAATTCAGACCCAGTATTGCCAGATTCCCCAACTTTTCAAGAGAAGCTTCCAAGACAGGATTTTATATGAAATATCAGTTTGACTTTCGGCAACTTGACTAAATAACACAGTATGGACAAACCACAGCTGTTGGTCAGATATGACTCAGCTGGCCTATATGCAGCCTTTGGACTAAGCAATCTAAAGCTCCTTTCCAATTCTAAATCTTTGAAGTTAAGCTGTAAAAGAAAGACTTCATCTTGAACTTGGAACCAAGAAATTTAGAGATGTTGGGGCACCTGGATGGCTCAGTTGGTTAAGTGTCCGACTCTTGATTTCAGCTCAGGTCATGATCTCAGGGTCCTGAGATGGAGCCCGCCTGGGGCTCCATGCTGAGTGTAGAGCCTGCTTAAGATTCTCTCTCTCTCTCCCTCCCCCTCTTCCCCCCTCCCCCCCCCCCCCTCCCCCTCTCCCCCTTCCCACCCCCTGCATGCACATGCTTTCACTCGTGCTCTCTCTCTAAAAAAACAAAAAAACCCCACAAATTAAGAGATGTCACTAGAGGAACAAGGAAAACCATTCTTATCAGCCTTTTCAAATGTGATATACTGAGTTAACAGATCAAGCACTCTGAAGGTGCAAATTTCAGCAAGTACTGCCCCAGTCTGGAGTTTAGACTTCCCTCCTTTGCTTTGTGGCCTCCCAAGCCAGCTTTGACTTGGACCCACCATATGGAGTATTGAGTACTGTATTTCATTTTTGTTATTTAGCTTCCACTAGAAATGATTGGAAAGCATTTATAATAATCAGCTAACCTGACAGCAGGGAAGAAATAATTAAAAGCTCATAAATTATATCCTCGATATGCTTATGTTCAAGGCAAATTACTTTTTAGGTAGGTAGGAACTTGATTAGTGCTATTAGGCACATGAAGGTGTTTGGAGGACCTGGCTCCCTTATATGAAATGCAAAGATATTCTGAAAATGAAAATGTGCTCTAATTTACTGAGGCTTGTAACAAGGCGAACACCCTCACCGAAACCAGTGAATAGCCTTTAGAAGCATAAACAGAATGCTTCCTGCCGCTACCTCCCCCAGTATTTTATTCAGCAGTAGCACTGATGGGCCTGGGTTAAAATCTAAAATCTTTTGTTGGAAATGCACTTAGCTTGTTTTCTTCTCTGTTCTCTCCTCCTTCCACCTTTTCCTCTCCTGCGTTTTAGAGTTTGAAACGTCCACTTCCTAGGGAGAAACTACATGCTTCAGACTGACACATATGCCCCAGTCTCAGAGGAGTCCTGTGGACAATGGCAGCCGGCACATATCCAAACCTTCCTAATTGGGAGCCAAAGGCCTAGAGAGCATATAAATCTCTGAACTTGTCTTTAGCCTATTTTTCCATTAAATTACATTGCCATTATTTTATCATCCTCCCCTCCCATCATTTCTAACCCTGTATTCTTTTCTTCCTTCTTACTCTTTCATTTACTCAGAAAATATTTATCGAACACCCACCATGCGATAAGGGTGGTGGGCAAGATAAATACAACCCATGCCCTCAGTCAGGAAAGACAGCTTACTTTTCACCACAACTGTTCTTGCTTATTATAATAGTCCACAGTTTCTATTCATTTCAGGGTGAGTGGAGGAAGCGGTAACTCAGGTGTTCCAAAACAAGATGTTCTAGTTGCCTCTCTTCTAGTCACCACATCAGAATTGCTTAAAGGCTTCTGATTTATGTGGGAGAGATGGGAGGGAGACAGCAAGAAATGGGGTCTTCTCACTATTTCAAGGTTGGTAGGCTCTCATAAGGATGTTTTCCTCTCTGTAAAGAAAGAAGGAAGTTTAAAAGGCTCTTGGCCCCAAACAGATCAAGAGGCCCCAAAAATAACCTTCAGAGAGATCTTTTGATGTTCCTGAGGGATGTAGCACATTCAGTTCTGAGTTGTCAAGTCTTTAAGTACCTTTGTTCTTGAATGGCATCACTGTATAGATGTGAGGTTTTTTTTCTAGATCCCCCTCCAAGACTTTTTGGCAAGACAATTACAGTTGTGGGCCTTGTCTTGAAAAAAGCAGAACTCAAAAGCCCCAAGTATGGAGCTGAATGCTTTGCATAAAGAATGCTTTCCCTCAGGAACTTGAGGTGTTATGAAAACCGGGGCCTTTAAGAACCTTCATCGTTTCTCCCAACACATTATTTACATAATATCTTTGTGTCCAAAGTGCTTTTCTACTATAGGCCTATTCTTAAGGAGACAAAGCAATTCCTTAAATCCTCCAAGAAACACCCTGAGATGGTGTTCACAGAGGTCAGTAGATGGCCAGCCAAACAAAAAAGGATTTAAACTCAAGTAACTTGTGGAAGGCATGACGAACTCTTTGACTCATGAGAAATGAGTAAAATGGGAATTAAGGAATGGCAAAAAGCAGCACAAACTCCCTGAGTTGTATTATTATCCCCCCATCCTACAACCTTCCTTCCCAGGACAGCTTTAGTTAAGTACCCGTGATGCTTTACCTCTGCAGATGTTTGGAGGCCATGATTAAGTACCTCACACTGTGGAAGAAAGAGGGGCAGGAGGAGCCCTATGTCAGCCTCACCCGAAAGAAGATGCTAATAAATGGCGAGGAGGTGCTGATAGAATGGGAGGTGGGCCACTCCATCCGGACCCTGGCTATGCACCGCAATGCCTACAAACGTATGTCACAGATCCAAGCCTTCCTGGGCTCAGTGCCCCAGCTGACCTATCAGCTCTATGTGACTCTGATCTCTGCAGAGGTTCCCCTGGGTAGAGGTGAGTGGGGTCAGGAGAGGGGAGGGCTCCATTTAAATCAAGGGTCTTAGAAATCCAGACCTGAGCTGTCCAATACACTGGTCATCAGCTTCATGGGGCTATTTAAATTAAAATGAAACATGGAATAAAAAATTTACTTCTTCAGTCATACTAGCCACATTTCAAGTGTTCAATAGCCGTGGTTACTGTATTGGATAGCACAGGTATTACAGAACCTTTGAACAGCACTGGTAGATAGTCAAAGAAGTTGGGGAGCCAGACATCTTAGGCCTGCCAGATTTCTTTAACTGGCATAAGCTATTAAGGCTAAAAATGCCACAGATAAGCCCTCTCTGGACCCAGAAGTAGCTGGTAATACCAGCAGTCAGTAGGACACTTTCCCTAGCCCAGAGTGTTTAAATTATACTGAGGGTTTTTTGTTTGTTTGGGTTTAGGGATGGCCATCTTTTAATAAGAGGTTCCCAAATGTTACTGATCACGAGAAAACATATTACTGGGTGGAAGCTCCTTTTTAAAAGAATTTTTTCTCCTACTCAGACCAGACTCAATCTGAGTGTGGGGAGGCCAGGAATCTGTATTTAAAAAAATATACCCCAGTTGATTCTGATCAGCCACATTTGGGAACCACTGATTTAATTACTTCTCCCAACTCCAGTGGGGAGAAAGAAATGGGGGTGTGGAATGAATACTGGTGAAAATGAGCCTTGGTCCCAGTTCTGACCTTCTGTGTGATTTTTGGAGGAAGTTACCCAAGAGGTCACAGTCTTAATTTCCCACTTGTAAAAGACGGATCCTTAGATGAGTAAGACCTCTAGGAGAGGAGGAAATGTGAGTCATGTTTTCAAAGTCAAGATAAAGTACTGTTAATGAGTTTTAACAGCTCAAGATTAGCTTCGTCTGCTTGGGCTGGAGCTGGTACAGCTGTGGGTACAATTTTGAACCATTTCCTTATTATTAGATGCTGATTCTGCTTGGCGAAGCCCCATGTCACAAATGAACCTAAGGAGGGAATTTGTTCCCTTTTCTCTTTTCCTCCACTAAGAATTGTTCATGGAATTGTTGGTCTTGAAGCTTTTTACGTACCTAGGATTGACGGTAGTGTGAAGAGAAAAGGAAGTGATGATGCTTTTCCTCCTGAGAATTTTGAAGGTCATCAAATCATCTAATTAAAATATGTATACGTTACAGAAGTAATGCATGCACAAACCGATTGACCTGCAAGTAATCATAGATGCGTAGAAAATTTCTGGAAAGATATGTCAGAAACCATTTACCTCTGGGGAGTGAAAATGAGAAGTCCTTTGACATTTACCTTTTACTTTATACCCTTCTGTATGGTTTGAAATTTATATGGTTTAAAATTTTTGCTATGACCATGTATTACTATTTTTGGTCCTTATTTTTTTAATTATAAAAATCAGACATGGTTATGGTAAAGAGTCAAAACCACACAGAACATATATCAAATAGGAGATGTAATTTTACTCCCCAGAAGTAATCTCTGTTAACCATTCAGTATATATCCTTCCAGACTCTTTTTTTCTTTACTATGTAAACATACATACAATATATATGTATATGTATTTTCGTCAAAAAGGGCTGTATTAAACATTCTGTTCAACATGTCTTTTTTCAAAAGTATGCCAATATATCTTCCTTCAACGGTTACTTATATATGCATATATAATAGTAAATGATAAATAGATAACATATTTTCCTTATATGAACTGGACCATTCTTTGTTATTTCTCTAATCTTCTATTGGTAGGATTAAAGTTTGTTTCTGATTTTTGCATTCAAAAAAGTTTTTTCTAATCACAAACTATGCTCCAGCGAACATCTTTATAAGTATCTGTGTACCGGAATGAGACTTCCTAGGATAAGTTCTTAGCAATAGAAGTGCTGGGTGAGAGGCTATGCATGTTTGGAATTTTATCAGTACTGCCAAATAGCCCTCCCAAAAGGTGGTGTGAATTTATATTCCCACCTGAGGTGTATGAATGTGCTTTTTCTTTATATATTAAACTAAATATTATTTAGTTGTATAATTATAAAATAACTGATTACTTAAATAATTTGCTCTTAATTGTGAGGGTAGCTGAGCATCTTTTCATGTTTGGTTATTGTGTTCTTTAAATTGCTGATTTATAGTAGGTTGTCTTTTTCTTATTAATTTGCAGGAGCAGTTTTCTTATTCTGATATTAATCCTTTCTCTGCTGTAGATAAGTGTGTATGTATACATTTATGTGTTTTGTATTTGTGTACATACACACATTTTAAATGGTCTTCTGGCTTTCTGAAGTATTAAATTTTTATGCATTTAAATTCTTTATTGCTTTTGGATCTTGTGCACTTCTCACAAAGGCCTTTCACAACCCCTATCTGATAGGGCAATTTAGCCCAATCTTCCAAATAGATGAATTTCCACAAGCAGTTTGTCAATTCCCCCACCAAAATACAAAACAAAGCAAAACAGTAACAACAACAAAAGAAAAAAAATTTTATTGAGACTGTGTATTGGGCTTGCATTAAATTATTTAGGTTGTTTTGGAGGGAATTTACATCTTTACAGGATCAATCAGTTTCATATTAGAAGATGATGTATCTCTCCATTTCGTTAAATAGTTTTATATCACTTTATTGAGGTATGATTGACAGAAACCTCTACCTATTTAACATATCCAGCTCGATGAGTCTGGAGATAAGTATACATCCAGGAAATAACCCCACAGTCTATGCCATAAATGTGCAAGGCCCGGAGCAGGAAAATGATACAGCTTTATTGAAGTACATTAAAAAATATTTAATGAAATGTACTTCAGTAAAGTTGTATCGTTTTCTTGCTATAGGTTTTGCACATTTTTGTAAGGCTTATTTTTAGGTATTCTATTAGTTTTTAAATCACCTGATTGCCTGAGTAGGGGAAATGCACGTACTAGTCTTTTGGAAATGGGGAACGATGATGATGATGATGATAGGAGGTAGCAGATAGCATCTACTATGTTCTGAACATTTCTCTAAGCCCCCTGCATGTAATTATTTCATTTAATCTTTACAACAACCCTGTGATAGAATTATTACCCCCATTTTAACAAATGAGGAAACAGAGGCATTGAGAGGTTAAGCAAATTCCCCTCATGCTTTCATAAGTAATAGTTGGCAAAGATGGGATTGGAATCCAGGATGCCTGCCTGCAGAGCCCATGTTTCTAACTATATCGCTCTACAAAGGATGCAAGGGAAACTTTCTCTGAGGCCTTGGTTTCAATTCTTTGGTGCTTTCTCCTATTAAAAACTTGCTGACAGTACCATCTCTTAAAGTTTGGTAAACAGTTTTTGGGGTTAGATCTCCTCATTTTCATCCACTCTTCTGTCTTCTCCTTGCTACCCCTTTTTCTAATCTCTTTTTCTCTTGGAGGCCATCTGGATTAGCATAGATGAGCAAATTCACTAACAGCATTATGATCTCTTATGGCATGAGTCTATTTGTAGGGAGACAGATGGAAGGTGTTTTTACATTTATTGGAAGCATCAGGCTTTCTTTTATTACACTACTATCAATAAATGAGTTCTAATTTAAGGGAAAGCATCACCACACTTGGCTAGATGACATTCCCAACTAGGAGCATCAACTCTTAAGGATGGGACTAAGAGTGGTTTATAAAGCTAAGAGTATATCAAATCGTTTTGTTGTGCACCTTAAACTAATACAATATTATATGTCAATAATATCTCAATAAACATGGAAAAATAATAAATAAAAATAAGGCTAAGAGTAGACCCTTCAAGAGAGTCTCTCCAGTCTTTGAGATTCCAACACTCTACTTAGAGCTGAAAAGGATCTTGGAAACAAAGCTGTGCTTCTTTTTGGGTTTCCATGGGGAAGTCTTCACTTTACTTGCAGATTAAGTTGACATCTCCATGGCTCCAGTTCCCTGGGATCTAGTATTTTTATGGGAACAGAAAGTTCCAGCTTTTTTTTTTTTTTTTTTTGATGAGTTACCCCTCAGGCCTCTCACTCTCCTTGAGAGCAGTAGATTTTTCTTAGTGATTGGCATTCTTTGATATAAAGGAATGAAAGGAAAGGGACACCGTGTGATCTATAGTTGAGACTTAGTGTGGCAAGTTATGGAGCATCCTGACCCTTCAGGGCCCCAACTCTAAACAGTGGCATGGATGTGATACGCTTTGAAATGGGGTTTAAAAAAATTTTTTTAAACCACTCTGGTAGAAGTTTGGAGATTCCTAAAATATACCAAAGCACCTGGGTGATAAATTGATATTGCTGATGATTTATGCAAGCAATTCTAGAGTATCTCAGTGAATTGGGGAACTAAGGCACATAGATATTCAGTGGCTTTCACAGAGCTGAACTAAGGGCTTCTAATTGTAAATATTCTATGCTGCCTCTCTAAACTCAGAATTCCTCATTAATTCCACAAATATTTATTGAGCACCTACTATCTTCCAGGCAGTGTGTTAGGCTCTGGGGACACAGCATGGAACAAAGTAGCCATGGTCCTTTCTGCCTTCATGGAATTTCCAGTATACGTTCTGACACATTCTAGAAATAAATACAAGATTCATTCCTTAAAGAAGATATGTGTCAAAGAAGGGACTTCTGTAGCCAAAGGCATTACCTATGAATTTCCTAGGACTGGCTTTTTTCAGAATTCCTTCTGCCTCCTTCACTGTTTGCTCAGAAGCCTATTTCATCAAGTGGGTGCTGCCTTATCCCTTTATATATGTGCTCTTCTTGTGTTAGTGACCTCTCAATGCTAGTTCTGAGATCCACTCTTCTTAAAAAGTTCATTTTGTATGTTTCCATGATTATTAAAGTGTTGCAATGTATGTTCATTTTGGGACATTTAGAAACTAGAGAAACATAGAAAAAAAGGATTTTGAAAACTGGTATAATCCCTAGCACAAAAAAATATATTTTAGTTTATTTCTTTCCATTTTTTTTCCTGTGCATGCTGTGTGCTGTGCTAACATAGCTGTGTTCATACGTGAATTTGCTCTTAACTGGGCCCTCGAGCCTCACCTATCCTCTCTCTGGACCTCCGGGTCTGAGTTCAAGCTTCTCTAACATAGTCTGATTGTCTATTTTTTCTGTTATTTTTTTTTCTTACAGCTGTGCTAATGGTCTTTTCCCTGATCTCTGTCACCTATGGGGCTACCCTCTGCAATATGTTGGCTATCCAGATCAAGTATGATGAATACAAGATTCGCCTTGGGCCGTTAGAAGTCCTCTGCATCACCATCTGGCGGACATTGGAGATCACTTCCCGCCTCGTGATTCTGGTGCTCTTCTCAGCCACCTTGAAACTGAAGGCTGTGCCCTTCTTATTGCTCAACTTCCTGATCATCCTCTTTGAGCCCTGGGTTAAGTTCTGGAGGAGTGGTGCCCAGATGCCCAATAACATTGAGAAAAATTTCAGCCGGGTTGGCACCTTGGTGGTGCTGATCTCCATCACCGTTCTCTATGCGGGCATCAACTTCTCTTGCTGGTCGGCTTTGCAGTTGAAACTGGCAGACAGGGACCTCGTTGACAAAGGCCAGAACTGGGGGCACATGGGCCTGCACTATAGTGTAAGGTTGGTAGAGAACGTGATCATGGTTTTGGTTTTCAAGTTCTTTGGAGTCAAAGTGTTACTGGATTACTGTCCTTCCTTGATTGCTTTGCAGCTCATCATTGCTTATCTGATTTCCATTGGCTTCATGCTCCTTTTCTTCCAGTACTTGCACCCATTGCGCTCACTTTTTCCCCACAACGTAGTGGACTACCTCCATTGTGTCTGCTGTCACCGGCACCCTCGGGGCAGGATTGAGAACTCAGAGCCATCCCGAGATGCTGAAGCAAGGCAAAGCATTGTCTGAGATTCTGTCTTCTGGGTCTTTTGGGATAGGCTGGGGGTGGCCAAGAGCAACTTTGAAACTGAAGGAGAGGATGAGGCTCATAGGTGAGTACCCACTGGGACATTTTCTTGAATTTTCTGGTAAGCCTCTAAGAAGAAAGGGCAGCTCCCAAATAGGATTTATTTCCTTAAGATTGACTGTTATGTTTGGAAACCCAGGGTAGCTACTATAAACCAAGAAGGGTCAGAGATACTGTGAACCCCCCTCCCACCCAGGGCAGCTGTTTGGCTGCCCTAGGGGATAACTTACCTCCAAGCACCTTAAGCTCTCTGGATGTGATCTTGTAGCTCTGCTCATTTGCTCCAGGGCATTCCTGAGCTTTCCTAGGGCTGAGATGAAGGCCCAGAATTCCACCAGAATCTGATCAGAAGATGTGACAACTTGCTAATTATGGGTACCTCCCAGGAAACTGGCTGATTAATGTGGAATTGTAACTGTAAGCATGGCTGGTTTTTTTTTTTAAATCCACTGAGAAACTGTGGTTTAAGAAGCAAACCCCCACTACTAAAAGAGCTGCTTCCCAAACAAGTTAGCTTTCCATTCGGATTTTACTAGTGATCATTCATCAAAGACCTCTCTTTTCAAGCAGCCCTTCCTAGGCACACTCCGAGGAGGGAGTGTGGAGTAGGATTCCTGCAGGGCATAAGCCAGAATGACTCTTTCTCAGGGACCTGCAGGGGCATCCAGCTTGTGGAATGGAGTGGTTGAGTAAAATCTCTCACTTCGTGCCTCGTTATCAGGAATTCCCTCCAACCTGGTTTTTCTGTGCTCTTGTCATTTTACTACTTGATATAGATCTCAGAGAAGCTGAACTGTAATTGAAAATGTTTCTAATGTATGGAAGAAATGAAGATTGTGTTGTGTCTCCTACTGTTCTGAGTATTTTGCTGGTTTCCCCCCCCCCCCGCCCCGCCCAGGGGAGAGAGAAGGTAATAATAGCTGGGCTATTACCTTCATGCTGTTTGGGTTTTTGGATGGCAGCTAATACTCCAAGGTAGAGTGAAGACAGAGGAGGGAAAGCAGATCACATTAACTCATCATTGGTACTGGTTTTTGCCCACCGGGTTTTATTTTCTAATAAGGAAATGTTTATCATCCTTCTGCTCATTCCCACACCCCCAACGGATGAATGCATTTCTCCCTTTCTCGTGTATCTCCTATCAGTGGGGTATTTTGATGGGGAAGTCAGCTAGATGCCTCTAAGTTAACCGAGGAATCGAGGCTAGTATGGCCACTGCCTATTGGGACCTAGTATCCCAGCATTTACCTAATGCTTACCCCTCACACACCAGGAAAAGTCAAGAATCCCTAGTAGCGTGTGCCAATTGTTGCTACCACAATGTTTTGAGAAATTGTGAACGATCTGACCTAAAACTTCTCGTCCCCATCCAATTTTACTCATGAGATCATGTTAAGAGGTTATCTTTAGCCGTTTCCCTTTTATCCAGTGTCAGGAGTTTATGGCAGAGGAGCTCCCTCCTTGAAGTAGCAGGACTGTTAGCCAGAACCTTCCTATTTCCTGGCATGTCTAGTGTGGTTGTCCCATCTTCAACCACTGTTTGGGGGCTAAAAGGATTGGAAGATTAATTTGGGGGGAGAGTCAAGTGACTTGCTTTGGAGCAGTGGACACTTTTTTTTTTTTTCAATCCATCATTTTATCTTTGATGAAGAGACTTAACTTAGGTTGGTGTCAGAAGAAGTTCACACTCCCATCTTCTGACTGTGTTATTTAAGGTGAATTTGAAAGAATCTATTAAGGCCTCCAGAAGAACACTCTGTCTCTTTGGAATTCAAGCAATAATTTCTCCCTGGTGGTTAATATGCCCTTCTATTAAAATCAGAAGCAGCGTGGAAATGTAATTTGGTCCATAAAAGCCATGTGAATCAGCTACTTAAGGCACAGGTGCTGTGGGAACACAGTGACACACATTAAGCCAAGCAGGCCAATTAGAGCTAGAGTGGAGATACACAGGGCAGAAACATGTGCCTTGGTACTGGACCAGGCGTATTTTTTCCCACTACCCTCCGCAGCCTCCATGACTTAATATTTCTGGAATGCAGGGAGTTCAGGGTGAGGGCTGTGGAGCAGCTTTGGACCTGAAAAACCTGCTGCCCTTAACCCAAGGAGAAGAGATTCTAGCGATATGTTATGCAAATGAATTCTCAGAACCTCCTGTAGGTGGTGGCCTTTCTGTTCCACAACAGTCTTCCAATACACCAGAAAAGGAGAAATTTTGGAATATGGTGGTGGGGCAAGGGAAGTGCTCCCATCTGCAAACACCTCTTTAATTGACTACTCTCTTTGTACCCTTTGAAATCTTAAAGTGACACAGGGTAGTTGTGTAGGGGCAAGTGGTAGTGGGAGAGGAGGCAGAGATGGGGCCAGCAAATGGGTCTTGGAAAAGGAAGGCAGAACCATGAAGTGTGGTGGGAAAGAGAGGCTATTGTAGCAACAGCTTTTTTTTTTTTTCCACATTATTGGAAATTCGGTAGGCTGAGTATGGGCAAATGAACATGTTAAGGAAATGTATTAAATAAACTCATAGTTGTCAATTTCATTTGTTCTATGGGGCATAGAACTGGGAGGCACTGTAGAATTAAATAATAGCTGATATTTATAAGCATTTACTGTATGTCTGGCATGGTGCTTTATATGCATTATTTCATTCAGTCCTCAAAACAATCCCTTATGAGGTAGGTACTATCATCCCCCATTTTACAGATGAAGATTCTAAGGCATAGAACAGTGAAGTGACCTGCCCAAAGTCATGGCTAGTATCAGAGCCAGGATTCAGTCTTAGGCACTTAGGCACCCCAGAGCTTACACTCTTCATCATGACACAAGCCTCTAAATCCTCTTAGGTCCTTTGTGGAATTAGTTTAATATGTTAGTGGTTCCAGGAATCTTTTCTGGGCTGTGGCTCGGTTCATATCAAGCATTCTTTCTTACAAATACTTGTAATCAAGAGGCATCACTCGATTTACTCTAGAGAGAAAAAGGTCAAGTCCTAAAAGGCCTGGGATGAAAATGGGGTATGTGTTCACCTGTACTTATAGGTTGATGTTATTTAATGTTCATATGTACTTATATGTACTTATATTTAATGTTTACAGGTACTTATGTACTGGGAGTGGGGGGATAAGGTGGGGGAGAGTGGTAGGTGGATCCATTTCCTCTCTAGTTTCAGGATTTTGTCTCCTGTGTGTTCTTAAACACACAGCTTCCAGACCCTGGTCGTGGGAATAAAACTAGAGGGAGCAATTACTACCCAGGTTTGTATGAATCTTCTCCCCCCTCACCTCCCAAACAACCAACCACAGCAGGGGAGTGCTGAAGCCCACTCTCTTATACTTCCTCTTAGCAACACTGCCCTTACTCCTGCTGAGAAGCTGACTCCTAGTTCTTTTTTTTTTTATTTAAAGATTTATTTATTTATTTGAGAGAGCGAGAATGAGAGAGAGTACATGAGAGGGGGGAGGGTCAGAGGGAGAAGCAGGCTCCTCGCTGAGCAGGGAGCCCGATGCGGGACTCGACCCCGGGACTCCAGGATCATGACCTGAGCCGAAGGCAGTTGCTTAACCAACTGAGCCACCCAGGTGCCCAGCTGACTCCTAGTTCTAAAGCAGGCCACGGATAAGGATGTGGAAGAATAATGCCCCTCCCCCATCTGTCCTAGTCCTGAGAGCCTAAATCAACATTCAGTGCTCTTTCAGCTAACCTGCTCCCACCTGTACCTCTCAAGCTCATGGTCCTCAGCATTCAGAGTTGATTGCTACTTCCATGGTAAGGGTGGTGTGAGCAGCTGAAGGGTAGAATGTTCACCGGGACATTCCATCTAAACCTGTGGAGTTCCGGGGCACCTGGCTGGTTCAGTCTGTGGAGCCTGCAATTCTTGATCTCGGGGATGTGAATCTGAGCCCCTTGTTGGGTGTAGAGATTACTTAAAAAGAAAATCTTAAAAAAAAAAAAAACCTATGGAGTTCTGTTTCTGAAAAGTCCTTTAGTATAAAAGCAGTGAACTCTGGACCCTCCAAAATATTTACCTCCCCAAGAGTGGGGAACCTCATTCTCTGAAACTTTTGCTGTTGGGCTTTATTACTGTCTTCAGGGGACACACATGCCCAGAATCTTATGCCTTTCCTCTTGAAGGACTAGCACCATTAATCACACACTTTAGACCTTAGAGCCTCTGGGGTGCACAGGGAAAGTGTGATATGAGCCTTGGCAACAAAGCATATACCATGTGAAACTGGGAAGCAGCAAGGCTAACCTGTGTGAGCCCTCTGAGCTGTACATTTGAATTTGCATTGTTCTAACCTTTAATTTATTAAACAATTATTAAACTCATTTTGTGCCAGGAAAACCTACATGGATATTTCAGAGTGCTTTATAGATGCTGAAAGACTCAAAAACAAATCCCAAATATTGAGCTTAAGTGACATTGGAGATAAATAGCCACTGGTTCTCATCACTGGTATGAGAGTAAAGTATTGGCCTAAGTTTTTGGAAGGCAATTTGTCAGTATTTGTCAAAATTAAATGGGCATACTTTTTGTCTCAGAATTTTAACCTCTAGGAATTTTTCCTATGGCAACATAGCCACACTTGTGCAAAGAGATGTGTACAGGAATGTTCATTATAGCACTGTTTGTAACAATGAAAAGTTGGTAACAACTTAAATTTCCACCTATAAGGAAATGATTAAATTCTGATAATTCTATCATTGGAATACTGTCCAGCCATTAAAAAGATATATGCACCCCTATGTTTATTATAGCATTATTTACAGGAGCCAAGATATGGAAGCAACCTAAGTGTCCATCAATAGATGAATGGATAAGGAAGATGTGTGTGTGTGTACGTGTGTGTGTATAATGGAATATTATGTGGCCACAAAAAGGATGAGATCGTGCCATTTGAGACACCGTGGATGGACCTAGAGGGTATTACGCTAAGTGAAATTAATCAGACTAAGAAAAATACCATATGGTTCCACTCATAAGTGGAATCTAAAAAATGCGTAAACAAAATGCAAAATCAGACCTATAAATAGCGAACAAACTGATGGTCGCCACAAGGGAAAGGAGTGGGGGATTGGGCCAAATGGGTGAAGGGGAAAGGGAGATACAGGCTCCCAGTTATGGAATGTATAAGTCATGGGAATAAGAGGCACAGCATAGGGAATAAGTCAATAATATTGTAATAGTGATGTATGGTGACAGATGGGAGTTCCACTTGTGAGCAAAGCATAATGTGTAAACTTGTCAAATCACTAAGTTGTACACCTGAAACATAATGTAGCATTGTGTGTCCACTACAAAAAAAAAAAAAAAGAATCGGGTAGACATATACAGTATGTGCTAAGTGAAAAGATTGGTGAAAAACAAGTTGAAAAACAAAATGTATAGGACGAGATTATGAAGAATTATTCAAAATTTGGAAATGAGTATCATAGGAAGAATAGTGTCTCCCTCCCAGATCTCCACGTCCTAATCCTCAGAATTTGTGAATATGTTACGTTTCGTGGTAAAGGGGAATTAAGTGGGGAATTCAGGTTGCTAATCAGCTGACCTTGAGATGGAGAGATTACCCTGAATTATGTGGGTGTGCTGGATGTAAACACAAAGGTCCTCATGAGAGAGAAGGTGATGTGAAGATGGAGACACAGATATGGAAGACGTTAGACTGTTGGCTTTGAAGATGGAGGAAGGGGCCACAAACAGAAATGCATCTCTAGAAACTGTAAAACACAAGGAAACATTCTCCCAGAGAGTGTCCAGTAGGAGCAGGTCCCTGCCAACACCGCCTTGATTTCACCTTGAAATCAGTGAAACTGATTTCGGACTTCTGAACTCCAGAGCT